AGGAGGAGGAGGAGGAGGAGGAGGAGGAGAAGAAGAAGAAGAAGAAGAAGAAGAAGAAGAAGAAGAAGAAGAAGAAGAAGAAGAAGAAGAAGAAGAAGAAAGATTTGCAACTATGAATTCAAGGTCTGAAGTGTATGGGTCACTATGTGAGATAAGCTCGGCAGTTCTGCACTCTTGCTGGCTATCAAGTGCCCTCCACTGATCGGTTCAATAAGCATTCATTGTGTGGCAGCCTCTACGTGATGATCCCGGACTGTTGACTGGGGGAGGCGGGTGGACTAGCCCATATCTGAAATGACTGAAATCAGAAGTTTTCAGATTTTAATTTGTTTATACTTTGGGTTTTTTTTTTTCATAAGCTATCCTGGAATTGAGACCCAGGCCTAAGCACAAAACTGACCTGTGTTGTGTGTGTGTGTGTGTGTACTGTGTACACACAGAACTGAAAGCAAGTTTCCCAATACTTTTCATAGTGACCTGTTTTCAGACCTGGGGCTCTCAACATGTACACATTTAATTTAAGTAAATTAAGTCTGTATTCCTGGTCCCAGAGGTCCTCATATTCCATTAAGGTAGAAGCAGCTTGGCAAATTCATGAAAAGAAGTGAAGAAAATATAATGCTCATTCTGCTCAGAAAAGTGAGACATGCATTCAGCACAGCACTGTTCTTTGTAAACCAAATCCTAACTTTATACCTACATTAAAATAAAAAATTGTGCTAGGCAGAGGTGGCACACACCTTTAATCCCAGCACTCAGGAGGGAAAGGCAGGTGGATCTCTAGAGGGTAGCCTGGCCTACAGAGTGAATTCCAGGACAGCCAAGGCTGTTACACAGAGAAACCCTGTCTCAAAAAACAACAACAAAATCATGATGATAGAACCAATACAAGTGTTATAATGATTTATTTCCATGGAAAGCTAAAATGTGTGACCTATGAAAAGTTCCCAAATTAAATTGTGAAGAATATTTTGATTAAAATTGAACATATGCCACAAATATAATTCTTTTGCATTTATATCTATGCAATAGACATGTAAGGCTGGAGAGACGGCTCAGTGGCTAAGAGCAATTACTGCTCTTTCAGTGGACTTGAATTCAGTTCCCAGCACCCACACCTGGCAGTTCATAGCCTCCTGTAACCCCAGCTCCAGGACATCCAACATCCTCTTCTGGTCTCTGTGGGCGCTGTACTCACATACACATAGTCTCACTGACACCCACAAAAACACGTAATTAAAAATAAAATAAATATTTAAAAATATATATATTCTATTATATTTGTGATGTCCTTAAAGCAATTCAGTACTAAAGCATCAACGTTTTAACCTCTTCCCCCAAAGTAAGTGTTTCAATATTTTTAAATTTTATATTATATAGTTTTACTATGGCTATGGGACTACATCACAGGAATACATCACAGGAATCTGTGAGAGTTAACAAGAACAATTTGGAAGTACCTAGTAGAGCACTGGACACTTAGCAAATCCTCTATTAGCTTTGGTTTCTCATTATTTTAGGCCCTTTCTATGAAATACCACTTAATTTCACTTTTGTTCAAGAATAAGTATACATTTTGCAATACATTCTTGCTATAACTTTCAGGCAAAAAGGTAGAGTTTTTCTTACCAAATAGGGACACACTTGTGATCCAGGACCAAACATAAGCTCACACTGTTTGTTCACATCATACACTGAACCAGGAAGCTGTGGAGACAGGTCATATATTCTTCCATTTGGTTTGTCAAGAAGGCATTCTCCATGGCCAGTGCTGAACCAGACACAGAATATGAGAGTGTGAATACACTTGCACACACATTAGTATCTCTACCAGGTTTCTATAGTTACTTACTTTCAAGGACAATGTTCACACCTTCCCATTTAAAAAAAAAAAAAAACTATACCCCTTGTTTAAAACTATAGTCACACCAGCCAAGCAAAATTCTTATACACAGTGACAATATCAGTTTGCGTGGAATTTTAACTGTGCCTGTTTGTACTGGATCCCCATGCACACCCAGAAGCTACAGTGGCATGGGGGTGGGTGGGGCTAGAGCTCAATGGTAGACCATCTCCCCAACATGTGTAAGAACCTGGCACTGCAAATTAGAACTGTTTAATAACAAGTTATCATAATATAATTAACACCACACTTTCAGTGTCCATTAGCCAAACTGTCAAAATGTAAAAATAAAGGTGTATTATGTTCCTTGTTCTAAACAGCAATAACAACAACAACAACAAAAAGCATTTCAAAAACTTTCATACTTCCTCCACTTTAAGGGCTTTTCAGGGAGTAAGCAAAGGAGTTAGCTCCCTGGCTCCAGGTGCTTGCTTACATTTAAGTTTCCCTCATGACCCACGAAATATGGTTGTGAACAAATTCTTTAACCTAGCTAAGCCAGGTCTCATCTTTCATACATTGACAAGGGTGGTATCTATCTCATAGCTTGCTGTTAGAATACAGTCACATGCTGCTCAATGATGCTTTGGCCAATGACGGGCCAAATGTCAGACAGTGGTTCATGTATGAGTTCCTATTCTAGAACATGGTTCTACTTCTTTCCGTCATTTCCATCAAGAGAGGTAACTGCGAAATACTAATGATTTTATTTTATTTTATTTTTTTAACTTTTCGAGACAGGGTTTCTCTGTGTAGCTTTGCACCTTTCCTGGATCTTGCTCTGTAGACCAGGCTGGCCTCGAACTCACAAGGATCCACCTGCCTCTGCCTCCCAAGTACTGTGATTAAAGGTGTGCACCACCACCGCCCGGTGAAATACTAATGATTTTAACACGAGGGAATAAACGAGGGAAATTGAGAAAGATTTGTACCCAAATATTTTATGGAAAGAGCTTGATAAATCTTAGCAACCATAGTAGAGACACAATTTGGATGAAAGAAATGAAAGAAAAAAAATGGCAGACGGTAAAGACGTAAGGCTGGGGAAGCCAGACCTGCCTCTTGTCAAAGCTACAGAGTCTCAGAGGAACATGTTGGGTTACAGACTCCATCCCTGTGGCTGAAGGAGCAGATGTCTATTGACTTCAGCTATTCTCGTCTTGAAGGGGAACCTTAAATGTCTACCACTCAAACACCTCTCAAAAGATTACTTAGTAACATCCAAAAAAAATAAAGAATGCAGGAGGATATTCTGGTTATCATTAAGTCATCCCATAAACAGTTTTCAAGACAAGAAAATGTTCAAATAAAAAAGCAAGATACATGCCTATATGCCTAAACTATACTAAAAACTTTTCAAGTGAAATTACACACACACACACACACACACACACACACACACACACACACACACACACGGATATATATTTTTTAAACTCTTCAGGCATTCATTTATTGTGTGGGGTTGCACATGGCACAGCACACATGTTGGGGTCAAGAGGACAATTTGCTTGATTCTGTTCTCTCTTTCCACCATGGGGTTCCAGGAATTGAACTACGGTCATCAGGCAAGTGACTTTATCCACCGAGCCATCTTGCTGTCCCATAAATTCTTGTTTTTAAACGTTTATTGGTACACTAGTAATGAAAAATTAACCCTCTCTTAAACCACTCCAAATGAACATACGAACATGCAGTTTGAAATCTGATGGTTTAGAAAGTGGTCACTTGTCAACTGAAGTCACAGAAATTCAGACTTACTCGAGAAACTCTGTTATGTGCTTCTGACTACAAGCTGACCAGGTCCAAGGACTTGTGTGGTAATTAAGCGTTGGGGCCATCACGTGATACTGATGTTTAATCCCAGCTTCTTTACATTTATAACTGTCATCATGTGGAACATTAAACCTGAAAATGAAAACAAACACTTAAGACATATTAATGTATGCAACATTAATAACAATTACCTTGTATTTCTACAACTGCACAGTGTGAAATACAAATAATTCTAGTTGTATCAAGTTTTGTACTCTCAGTCTTTACATAATGTTCGAAGCCATGGTTTCTGATAAATACCAGATTGTATGTTTGATTAGTCTTACAACTCCCTTATTTGTCATCAAAGTCCAAAGGGCAAAAATGTTTGGAATTTGTTTCACCTACTCAGGATATGAGCATAAAATTCACATCAGAAGGCCTACATGTCCCAACCTGGACATCTATGGGATGGGTGTACACATAGTAGGTAAGGTACCACCACACTCAATTCTAGACCCTCGACTAGAGCTGCAGTATGCAAAGACAGTCATCCCCAGCTCAGTATCATTCTGCATATCACCCACATATCAGCAGAAGCCTGGGGCTTCGGGGCTTCTGGCCTATCAAGTGACAATCAACAGACCAGAATAAAAACATACCTCAAGGGCACCCAAATATTGACAATGGGAATAGCAAGTGAAGAACCAGCAGGTCAGCAAGAGACTGTATGGTAGGCTTCAGAGATTCAAAATCTGGGTGAAAATCACCCTTACTGTCTATCCACATTTGAGAAATACTGAGGTTCCTCAGGGAGAAGGCCACTGTCTAGCGAACACAACATGCCCTGCACTGTGTACTGGTTAGCAGTTTCTAATACTCCCAGCACTGTATACTGGTTAGCAGTTCCCATACTCCCTGCACTATGTACTGGTTAACAGTTTCCAATATGCCCTGCACTGTGTACTACTTAACAGCTTTGGGAACCAGCAAAAGCGTTTTGAGGTACCACTGCAATATCTCAATAATCTGTAGGTCTCCCCCATTCTGCCTCAGCCCCCTGTTCCCCTTTCTATACAAATGCTAGTGACCATGGTGAGCTAGACATTAAAAAGGAACTGAAGCGGAGCCTGCTAATTAAGTTACCCCATTTCAAATTACTGTCTACAGATATCCTAAAGCAATGACCAGGAAAGGAACATGGTCAAACCAAGAGGCAACTTTAATCTCGATTCCTTACCAGCAGTAAACAAGGAACACACTGACCTATCCTGCGGCTGCTTTGGGAATTAGTTCTCAGAAGATGATTTATAGGACTTTGAAGCTTTTCCTGGGAGATCTGAGCATGCCATGGGAAATCATGGCATCCATTCTTACAGCACAGAACCCCAACAGGGTTTTCATAAAATGGGAATAAGAGGACTCAAAACAGTTGTAGGAAATGCTCTAAAAAGAATCATTTCATGAATAGGAAACCCCATGGACCTGTGCTAGGGCTCTGAGCAATAAGAGCAGGATTCAAGTTGGTCTTTCAAGTATTATTGGGGAGTTCTTCTGAACCAGGAGCCTTTGTAGGCCCTCCCAGACGATGGCAGAGGGTACCTGGTTATCTATAGGATAACAAGGAATAAAGGCCAGAGGTGCCTGTCACGTAAGGCAGTACAGTAAGTGCAACAAAAGAATCCCCAGGTTCTAGTTCTTTGACTAGTCTGTTGATCTGTGTAGGCTATCTGACCCAACACAGATCACAAAATCCCACCAAGTTAGTCTTTCAAGAGTCAAGGATGAAAACCACACTACACTCTTTGACGAAGGAATACCGTACTCATGGCTGAATGACCGCAACTGGAAGTCACGTTCTCCAGGTAAGGGAAGGTACTCACACATGCCCAAGCTCGTGGGCGATGGTGAAGGCAGCACTCAGCCCATTCTCTTCACTGATGGAGCAGCTCCTCAAGGGATCGCACAGGGTGCCCAACTCTGCTAAGCCTAAAGAGTAACACACACGTACTTCATCAAAGTGGGAAGTGCCACCAAAATCACAAGGTGACACTAAACCTAAGGCACTGGTGGTGGCGTTGTGACTTGGAAATAAATGCAGAATTGTCTATTAATAGTGAACAAATATTTAGAGCCAAAAGATAAAAGAACAGACTGAATAGTTTGCATGGAAATGTTTTTTGTTTTGTTTTGGTATTTTTGTTTTTGAGGGTTTTTTTTGGTAAACTTTTAGATTCTCCAATGCAAAATAATAATAGCAAAATAGGATGAGCAAATATTCTTCTGCAAACATAGGGAAAGGGAAAAGAGAACTGTCTAGTGTGGGTAATACAAAAGGCAAAGAGTGCCAACCAGTAGACAAATCAAGAAGAGATCAAGAGCTACAGTGAAGCTTGGAGTATACATAAACTGAAACACCACACGATTACACGAACAAAGTCCAAGTGTTTGACATGGTGTTTGGCATTTAATGCATGCCAGCTAAAGCAAGGCACAGCTGTGGTAGAAGGGTCACTGTAAGCACTCAGTAGTCCCTGACTATTTGGGCAACAGGAAGGAGTATTATATAACAGAATCCTCTCTCCAATACAAAGGGTGACATGTGAACAAGCATGTTGTGGAAAGATGAAAGCAGTAGGACCTAGGTGGACACCAACAACAATGACAATTCCAGCTTATAGAGTCCTCCGAGCTGAAAGGGTGAAAAATTCGATGATAATCATCCATTATTACAATCCCAACTCCATCACCATCACTGAGGTTAGATGTTTGGGTTTTAAATGCTAGTCAATACTACAGTTTCTGGTAATTCTACCCATTAATGTTTACTTGTAAATTTATCTACTTGCCTGCGAGGATTCTTTTTCACAAAACAGCTCTTGTCTTGTGAAACATCTTGCAACATCAACTTCTCACTACATATTTAGGGATTAGTACTGAACAAATGGGATTCTGTCAGATACCGTGTTCACTCCTCCTCCTCCTAGGCATCCTTTTATTCACAAAAGTTAAAAACCTGGACATCATCCTAGCATGGAGGCAGATTTCCAAACCATCATAAAGTTTTGTTGTGCATTTAAAGAAATGAAAGTTAAACTCTGAAATCGAAGGCTCAGATTTTCATCAGCCAACGAAAGGGTTCCCCTCTTTGTGAATCTCTTGCCAAGAGGCCTGGCTTGGGCGACGTCTTCTCCAGAAGACCTTTCCTTGGAATCATTATGAGTAAAGAAACCCTAAGTTTAAAATCTATGCTTCCACATGTATTCTTCTAATCAATTTATAATGTATTATATAATGCATTTATATGTGATATATAAATCACATATGGATATAGATATAATCCACTTTATATGCATTTTTCCTTTGTCAAAACAGGTGAACAGTGAAGACACTTCTCATGGATGCTCTTCTGTCTCCTTCATCAGTAGTAACAAGCTGCCAGCAGCCGAGTGCCCAAGGACTCATCTGCAGAGCCTAGCTGAGATTTGGAATGCGATACCAATTCTTTTACCACCTCACTTTACGTTTCATCTTTAAAAGCACACATTCTAAAATGAATGCTTTACTCATAGAACAGACTTGTAAGCATCTATTTCTTATATGATCAGAAAATGGGCCACAAAACAAGGCCACTTATGCATACCAACAAAATCTGAAACAAATGGTTAGCACTGTGGTACCAAGCAGCTGATTCTGAGATCTCTCAAAGCTACCCAAGATAGAGGGGAGCATGAGCACCCATTTTATCAAGGTCCCCTGTGTGAGAATAAAAGACACAAACCAGAGCATTGGCTCAGCAGTTAAGAGCACTGGCTGCTCTTCCAAAGGACTTCGGTTCAATTCCCAGCACCTATACAGTGGGTTACAACCATCTGTAACTCCAGTTCCAGGGGATGCAACACCATCTGCTGATCTCTATTGGCACCGGGCATGTGTGTGGTGCACAGACATACATTTGGGGGAAAACACTGATACACATAAATTGTATACACACATACATACACATCATTAAGAATTTTACTGCTGGGAGCTGGAGTGATGGCTCAATTGTTTAAAGTACCTGCTGCTCTTGCAGGAGACTTGGGTTCAATTCCAGCCCCCACATGGCAGCTCACACACACCTGTAACATCAGTTCTAGGGGATCTGAAGCCCTCTTCTGACCTCTGTGGGCACCAAGAATACATGCAGTGCACATACATGCAGAGAGAACATTCACACACAGAACACAAAAATAAGTCTAAAAAGACCTACAACTAAACAGAGTATAATTCTAACCAAGAAAAGTCAGACAATAAAGTAATAATATAAACATACAGAAAATAAATGTCATCTTAAAAGGGAGACCCAAAAAGATAGATTCAAAATGGAAATGTAAAAACATCAGAAATTAGTATTTGCCATCAATAGCCTACACTAAAAATACTTTCCAGGCTGTGTAGCTTAGAGGGGATATAAAAAGGAGAATGACATCAAGGACAAGTTTGGGAGGTGGGGAGATCCATCCTTGGGCAGAAGTGCTTGCTGTCCAAGCAGGAAGACCTGAGTTCAAATTCCCAGCACCTATCCCAAACAAACAAAAACACCTTTGAAGTCACGTGCACTTGTAACCCTAGTACTGTCGGGATCAGAGACAGGAGGATTACTGGGACTTGCTGGCTGCTCCAGGTTCAATGGCAGATACTATCTCAAGGGGATAATGTTGGAGCAGAACACCCCATATGCACATATACATATATCATACATATCACACACACACACACACACACACACACACACACACACACACACACTCAAGGTCTGAGGTGAAGGAAGTGATGAAAACTGGACAAATATGGATACGAAGTTTTAAAATTATTTAACATAAAATAATGGCTAGGCTGGGCAGTGGTAGCACACACCTTTAATCCCAGCACTCGGGAGGCAGAGCCAGGTGGATCTCTGTGAGTTCAAGGCCACCCTGAACTACAGAGTGACTTCTAGTAAAGGCACAAAGCTACACAGAGAAACCCTGTCTCGAAAAACCAAAATAATAATAATAATAATAATAATAATAATAATAAGAAGAAGAAGAAGAAGAAGAAGAAGAAGAAGAAGAAGAAGAAAAAGCAAGGTTTACATAATTTAAATAAAGCAATGGACACTATATAGGACCAGCCAACCAAAGGTAATTTGGTCTTTGCTCATTTGCTGAGGAGAGAGTGTTAGAGAAAGTTAACTCGTCCTCCTGGTTGGGTATTGGAGAATTGGAAGGAAAGATATATCTACCCAACCAAGAACAGCTGGGATATCTACTGTGTATTCAGACATGACATAATTATATACATTGGAAGAAAATAATATATACTATTGCAGAGTATTCTTATACTTAATAGCTCTACTTAAATGAAGATTTTAATATGAGGACATAACATGGTTTAAATTTTTTCAAATGAACAAAGAGCCAAGAGTAGTCAAAGTGCGTGGAAAAGCAAAAAAAGGAGGATGAGCTTTGCTTGGGGAGGTTAGAGGGAGAAATAACAGTAAGGGTGTCTTAAAAAGTTATCAAGAATCACATTGTTCTAGCTAAAACTATGTGATACATTTATGTGTGTACATATATATATATGCATATATAAACTTAAGTGAAAATTTCTCATCTGAACTGACAATGCCCTCCCCAAGAGCAATAGACAATCTAACAAAAACAAAACAAAGAAAAACAAAACAAAACAAAAAACAAAAAAAAAAACTAACACTAGGCATGAGAAGCCTCCTTTTGAGTTGTTGTTCAGGGTTGTGCAAGAGACCCCAAAAATATAACAGGTTGCCCTTGGTCACGTCCTAGAAGTGGAAGATAAACCTAGCTGAAGACATGCTCTTCAAAGGATCCAGGAGGACCCCATTGTATCTGACCTGAAAGACTCCTACCTGAGGAGTAGCTTTCTGGGTACAAGTAGGCACCATATAAGCTTCCAAGTCAGAGAAGCAACCAGTAGTCCTACCCAGCTATGAAGCATAAGAACCATAACACCAACCAGAATGGCATGAGACCCTAAGTGTTGCAGCAGTGGCATTTGTGCCTTGGCAGTAACCAACAGCTCTACAATTGGAATTTGGGTCCACTCAACAAGGGGAAACTATATATGTCTGGTGCTGGAAACAGCCACTACTTTACTAAATCAATAAAATTCCCAACTATACTCTAAATATTTGTTCTTTTACCCAGAGAGTATAAGTCTCACTCATCCCCTCATCAAAGAAACTTCTCTTTGTAACAGACAGGGACCATTAGAGAAAACCAAAACTGATTAAAATACAGAGAACAAATGGTCCCACCAATACTTATACAAGAAACAATTTTGGGACCTACAGCTCCAGGATCATTGTGAAAGAGGAGTTAGAAAGATTGTAAGAGCCAGAGAAATAGAAGTTTACTGTGAGATTGCGTCTTCCAGAAAGGTCAGAGAGGCTATAGCCATGAAGTCTCATCAACATGGCGACCTAAACAAGACCTATATAATGACCAATGAACATGCTAATATGGAAAGGGGGAAACTCACAGGGCCTCAGCTCTATGCAAAGAACTACAGGTAATTGGGAGATTCTAAGAGTGGAAGAAATGATCTTCCCCAGGAAAGAGCACTCAGATTATCTACCAAGTGGTCAGCCCTGAGATCACATGCACACCTATAACGTTATACAGGATGAGCATGGTGTGTGTGTGTGTGTGTGTGTGTGTGTGTGTGTGTGTGTGTGTGTGTGTGTGTAACCATAATTAAAGAAGCAGAGGCATGAATTTGAGAGACAAGGGGATTTGCATGGGAAGTGTTGAAGGAGGGAAAGGGAAGGAGGGACTGATAGAACTATAATTACAAAAAATAAAAATATTATGAATTTAAAGTCAGTAATAATAAAATAAGGGAGAGGTGTGTGTCCTACCAATTATGAAAGTTTATACAGAATAACAGTGAAAGTATCACTGAACTGTGTGAGTCAGGCAGGTAGAGATGAAATGAAGGTACAATACGCAGTTAAAGATGCATGGAGATTTAACACAGGGCACAGCAGGTCCTCAAAAAGGGGGGAGAATGACTGTGTGGTTTGCAAATAGAAAAAAAATACAAGAAAACTATACAGACCCCCATGGATTAGAGACTTAAGAATGAGAGAACTCAGTTTTAAATATGTATTTTAAGACATGATAATGTGTTTAAACATTGAGTTATAAAAGGATTTAAGATATGGAAATGCCAAATATAGGGGGAATCATAAATTCAATAAAATTATGTTCTCACACACATGCCCTAAAACAAAGCACAGAGCTGTCAGATATTTGCAAAGTGTTTGGTGTGCAGAAGTAATGATGACTGTCTGAAAGGAAAGCGGTTACAGGAAACAAATGCTAGAGCAGAAAGTTACCGTGTTACTTCCAGTTACTTCATTCCTGCAGAAAAGGAAGTATCAATGGCTGGTAGATACGGAAAAACAAGTTCAAACTTCTCAGCAATCAGCAAAATGAAAGATACATTCCTTTTAGATTGGCAAAGACTGAGAAATCTGAAGGTAACCTCTGTCACCAAGGAAAGAGCCCAAAGGGATGCTTACATCTCCTACCGCCAAACATCTGAATGTGCCCATCATTGCTGCATGCTTATATCTTACTGGCAAACAGTATGAGATATATGTTGATGAGATCACTTTAAAAATGATTTGTATGTGCCGGGCGGTGATGGCGCACGCCTTTAATCCCAGCACTTGGGAGGCAGAGCCAGGCGGATCTCTGTGAGTTCGAGGCCAGCCTGGGCTACAGAGTGAGTTCCAGGAAAGGTG